CTGATCAACAAAAGGAAAGAATGAATTATCCTATAACAGAGGAGGAGATAATAGTAGCAATTGAACAGTTAAAAACAGCCAAAGCTCCTGGCACGGATGGTTTGACCGCAGTGTATTACAAAACTTTGCAAGCTGAAATGGTGGGACAACTTAGAGATCTATTTTGCAATATTCAACAAGGGGGTAAAATACCCCCATCATGGACAACTGCTTATATATCTTTGATACCAAAAGAACAAGTCGGTCCTAAAAAACCAGAGAACTATAGACCAATATCTCTTTTGAATACAGATAATAAAATCTATGCGAAAGTATTAGCCAACAGGTTGATGCCAGTAATCCAAAAGGTGATTCATGATGATCAAGCGGGATTTATCGAGGGCAGACACATGAAGGATAATGTAAGGCAAGTAATAGATTTATTGGAATATCTTGAGAAGAATAAACAGATTCCTGCAGTGCTAGTCTTTTTGGATGCAGAGAAGGCCTTTGATAGAGTGGATTGGAATTTTCTACTAAAGACTTTAAAAAAGATGGATTTTGGGGATCAATTTATACAGGCGATTTCAGCAATTTACCAAGAGCAAAAGGCACAGATCATTATTAATGGAAGTTTGACAACAGAGTTTAAAATTGAAAAAGGAACAAGACAGGGATGTCCATTGTCCCCACTTTTATTTATTCTAACATTAGAAGTCTTGTTAAATACAATACGGGACTCTAATATCTTGAAAGGCATAATGATAGGCAAGAGGATTATAGAATAAAGGCATTTGCAGATGATCTGGTTGTTACCCTATCACAACCAATGGAATCAATAATCTTGATGAAGGACATTATTCAAGACTATGGTAAAGTTTCAGGTTTTAGACTGAATCCAAAAAAGACTAAAATGATAGCTAAAAACATGACACAAGATCGTAAACATGAGCTAGAAAGGAGGGCAGGTTTTGAGACTGTACCTAAGGTAAAATATCTAGGAGTCCAAGTTGCAGAATCAAACATGAAATTGTTTCAAAATAATTATGAGGTGTTGTGGCGAGAGGTGCAGAAAGATATGGAGACTTGGAAAAAACTGCAGCTGTCTCTACTTGGAAGAATAGCAGCAGTTAAGATGAACATTTTGCCAAGATTTCTTTTTTTGTTTCAAATGATTCCGGTGCTTAAAAGTGATAAACAATTGAAAGTCTGGCAAACTGGAGTGAATAAGTTTGTCTGGAACGACAAAAAGCCGAGAGTGAAATTGAAAATTATGCAAGATGTTCCAGAAAGAGGAGGTCTTAAACTTCCAAACCTACAGTTATATTATGATGCAGCAGCTTTAACTTTAACAAGTGATTGGTTTGGAAGGAAAAAGACTGGAATATTGAATGCAGAGAGTTTTGATCTCGAATTTGGATGGCATGCTTACTTATTTTATGATGACAAAGTTGATAAAGTATTTAAAAGTCATATACTTAGAGACTCTTTGATGAGAGTTTGGAAGAAGCATCGACTCAAATGGGATTACAAAATACCGCTATGGCTGGATCTTGGTCATATTTTGTGGAATACAAATATAATGTCACTCGGGGGGGTTTTATACAAAGAGGTTCTTTTTACAGATGCGGGCAGATGGCAGCTGAAGACATTGCAGACACTGTTGGACGAAGGGATTAATCTAACGTGGTTACAATATAATCAATTACAATTGAGATGGAAAGAGGACCAAAAAACTGGTATTATGTTGCACGAAGAAGAATTGGTTAGACATATAAAAGAGAAAGGTCCAATGCATATCAAAAGGCTTTATAATGTTTTGTTAGAAAGGGATTCAGAAACTGAATTAGTTAAAGATTGTATGATTAAGTGGGCACAAAATTTTGAAGAACCAGTGATGTTGGAAACATGGGAAAAAATTTGGGTTCAGAATGTTAAATTTACACAGTCGCAGAATCTGAGGGAAAATTTCTATAAAATGTTTTATAGATGGCATTTAGATCCCAAAAAGTTGTCATGTATGTACCCTAATGTTCAGCCAAAATGTTGGAGATGCGAATGTTTGGATGCTACGTATTATCATGTCTGGTGGACCTGTAGGAAAGTTAAAGCTTTTTGGATAAAAATTTGGTGGGTCATGCAGAATGTTTTGAAGAAAAAAATTCAATTCTCTCCACAATTGTTTTTATTGGGTATAGTTAAGGGTTTTACATCGGGTGAAACAAAATTGATATTGTATATGATAACAGCAGCAAGATTGTTGATAGGTAAATATTGGAAAAATGAAGCTTTGCCCACTATTGAAGAATGGACTTTGAAGATGGCCAGTTTCGCAGAGATGGCGAAGATTTCAGCATACTTAAAAGATTGCTCACAAGAGACTTATGAATGGGAATGGAAAAGGTGGATAGAATATGTTCAGAACAAATATCAAACTAGAAAGTATCAAATAGCTTTTATTTGAAAATAATATATTAGAAATATTTTAATGAAATGAGGTAAAAAGAAAAATTATACAGGGGAGGGAGGGGTTCAAGTTTACACATAAGTGTCATTCTAAGGGGTTTTTTTTTGTGTGTGTGTTTTTTTTTTTTACCAGTTATGAGTATATTATAGGGAAGTCTGGGGGGAGGGGAGGGTTAGGGAGGTTGGGAAGTTTGGGGGGGAGGTGGGGGGGGAAAAAGGGGTGAAAATGTAATTGTAAAACTTTTGCAATAAAAAAATAAAAATAAAAATAAAAATAATAAATAAAAGCATTGATAAGTAACTATTTGCAGCGCCAGTATAGAAAAGTTCTCTGCAAGAAACGCACTCAAGAATCCAGGCACTTCTATTCCAGAGAATGATGCTCCAGTCATACAGGCTCTCCTTTTTTGGATGAACAACAGAAGTGAGCAACAGAGTATTTATTTTTGTTGTTAAAAGTCAGGCCTGACATTTGTTGCATGGTAGCAGATGACATAAACCTGCTCTCTAACACTTGCAGTTTTTTGAAGAGTCATCTGCACAAACATTATTTCGGTAAATACAAGTTATATATGTTTAATACGATAAAATCTAACAATTCAGGCCCTTGAAAGCTTCCACAGTATTGTTCTGTCTGCTTAGGAACGAGTGGGGCAAAGAATCGCAATGCCTTAGGCACACTTAAGGGTTTCTTGGCTGCAGACCCAGCCTGGCTATTAGGTTCCCTCCCCCCTAGAGAGGATGCTGGGGGAAAGCTTTCAAGCATTCCTTTTGAGCCTGGAGGCAGCAAGATACTCACAGGCTTCCCACGGGACCCACCGCAAGATGTGCTTGGCAGGAATCAGGAAGACGATGAGGTAGCAGAGGCCATCCCCGCAGCAGAGCTTCTCCACCACATGATGTGATTTCAGAGGGAGGATAAAGCCCGGAGAGGATGTTTTAGGACGCAACCGTCCAGCGGCTCAGAATCCTACCAAGAGAAGGAGAGTCAGCAGAGCTGGCAACTGGGTCTCTCAGGCTGCAATCACAAAGGGCAACTGGGGGACCACCTCATTCCTTCAGACCCCCAACTCTCCCAAAGACAGTTCCTGCAGCGCCAGAGCAGAGCGCTCACCTCGTCCCGACGGAGTGGCGGCAGACAGCTTACACTGCAAAAACTTTCCTGACTGAGCAGGGTGTGGCTCCCTTAAGCTATTATGATTGTAGCATGTGGGAGAATACATGGCATGTGCTTGTGAACGTGAGAGGAAGAAGCAGAAGAAGAGTATGCACCAGAATGTGCGTGTCTTGTTCTTATAAGGCTCACAAAACCACATTCTCAATCACTATATCCATACAGGATAATAAACTCAAGTTTAGGTTCAAGAATTCTTTATGGCTGTACCAATCCCCTTTATTCAGGCTATACTGTATTATGCAGGTAAAACAAAATATATATGCAACATTGCATTATTTGCCTTTCCATTAATGTCATGTCCCAAGAGCATTAGAATACATGACAGGCGAGAGGCAAAGACCAACAGGGAGATGTAGGTAAAGAGAGGGAGCATTTTGTGGGGACAAAGAGAACGTTTACATTGCCTCTCTTGTCCAGAGCCCTTCAGGCTGACCAGACCATCTGGCGGTGCTCAGCTCACACATTTACAGCCAGCCAGGAACTCTCACCGGCCGTTCCAAGCTCCGAACAAATGCCCAGGTTTTGAAGGACCACAGAGAGGCCGCTGCTGCGTGCAGGGAAGAACCGCACCCACATTTACCCCTGGTCTGTGGAAGCTTCTGCTGCGGCTCCCAGGCTGCCTGCGGGGGCCGAGAACCAGGACTGTGCACCGTCAGCACTTCTGCCCCCCCCCCCCCCCCCCCCCCCCACTTGTGCGCTTCGAAGACAACCGCCCGGGAACCAGCCCAGGCGTTCCTGCCGGAGAAAGCCCGCCGGGGATTCCCCTCAGACGAAGCCGCCCTGCCGGCTCGGAAAACCGGCCTCTCCTCCCGGCACTCGCGCAGGGCGTGGGTGAGGCCCGTGGCGGCCCTTTCACTGGGCGGCTTCCTCTCTCGGCGCCGGCCCAGCTGCCCGTGGCCAGAGGCGGCCTTGCGCGGCCCCGGATCCTATTCAGGGCGGATCTGGCGCAGGAGGGGGGGAGGGGGGAGGGGGAGCCCCCCCCCATTTCTCAGCCCGGGTCCCGAGCGGAGCCGAAGAGCCGCAGGGAGAGCCAGCCGGGCGCACCTCAACCTGCAGCTGCCCGAAGGGCCCCCACGACCTCGGGCCACCGCAAGCGAGGGCCGGCAGAGGACGCCCTTTCCTGGCCCGAGAGGCCCCCCGCGTGGGATTTTCAGGCTGGATCGGCCCCGAGGGCAGAAGGGCGGGAAGGCGGCCGCGGAGGCTGTCCGGACTGCCAAGCCCAACCGGCCTCAGCCGCGGGGCGCGCTCCCGGCCCTCCCCGTGCACGCGCCGCCCAGCCGCCAAGAGCCGGCCCCGCCCGAAGGGGGCGCAGCTGCGCGGGGCCGCTCGTAGCCTGGCCGGGGGGGGGGGGGGCTGAGAGGAGCTCCTGGCGGCGGACGCCCCCTTGCGGCTGAACCGGGAGCCTCGGCGTTGAAAGGCCGTAAGCAGCCCTTCCGCGGCTTCTTCCGAAGGTCTCTGGGCTGCTCCTCGGCTGGACGGCCGTTTCTTTCAGAGGCGTTTGAAGTCACAACGGTCGCCAAAGGTTGCAGCCCCCCCGCGGCCCCGCTTGGGACCCGGGGGCTTGGCCGTTGCTCCCCCTGCGGTCGTGGGAAAGTCAGAGGAGCCCGTCTCGAAAAACGCCCAACGGGACCCGAAAATCCTCTCTGGATTTCAGCCTCAGCCCCAGAGTGCCGGGATTTGCCTCTGCTCTGGGCAGGAATTCCCCTCGGCAGCCAGAGAATAACAGAAAACCCTCTTATCCAAAGAGGATCCAAGGGACCGTCCACTCGCCAGGTCCTTGGCGGCTCCATTTGGCAGAGCCGCCTTCAGTTGACCAAAACTCCCCTGCACGTCCCTGCTTCGATCCAGTTTATCAAGGAAGAGCCTGGTTCATCAGATGCCTTACTGGAGCCCAGGCACCTTAGCGCTCCCTGGATCCACTAAACCAAACAAAACTGGGAATCACCTCTTTCATTTCTAAGCACTTGCAAACTCACTGCCCAATCACTTTTTCTAGCAGTTCTCCAGGTATCCTAAATAACCACCAACCTTTGGCCCTCTTAATTGCATAACTGAAGTGCGAGCAGATTTCAGTTGCCAAAGCAGTGTGGCTGTTTGGAGCCTAAGTGTGCTGTCCCACTCATGCACACACACAACACCATGGTGTAAGGAGTTTTCATTAAGGCTTCTGAGCCTAAACTGGTCTTCCCCAGCAATTCCCTGTGCCAGCACCTGCTCATCCCAAAAAATTCCACAGGCTGCTCAGATGAAGCCAACACTGGTCCTCCAAGCAAAGGCCAGTTCCAAGACAAAGGCAGATCCAAAGGCAAGGCAGCCGTTGAAGAGACACAATCCAGAGTTCAAGGTAAGAACAGTCTCTTGCTCAGTGTTCCTGGCCCTTGGTTACTGGCTCCCTAGACTAAAACTGGAAACAAAGTTCTCCCATCAAGGGAGCCCGTGGCTGCCTTCTGCCTTGTCTGGCTGAAAATGACACCCTTGTAGGTTTGCCCAGCAACGGGGGGGGGGGGGGGGGCAGGGCTGGCCATGCATTTTGGCACAGCTTATGAATAAACATTCCCCATGTGCGAAGAGTGCCCAGGAGTTACGCAAGCTCAGTTGTCGCACCTCCCTCTCTGAGCCCTTCCCTCTCAAATCAGCAGGCATGGTGGACTTTCCTTCACCATCTCAGAGATGATGAGAGGCCGAGCTGTGGGCAGGGGATCCCTTAAGGCAGGGGTCCTCAAACTTTTTAAACAAGGGGCCAATTCACGGCCCCTCAGACAGTTGGGGGCCTGGACCGGCTGGGAGGGCGTGGCTAAGTGGTCATGTGACTGGGTGGGCATGGCTAGGTCATGTGACTAAGTGGATGTGGCCAATTTAACAGTCCATTAAACAATGCACATAAATTAAACTTTAATTTGTTTTGCTCCTGGGGGTGTTTTATTTGCTTTTGTTTGCATGTTGCTCTTTTGGTTGACTTTTCTTTTTACTAGTTGTTTAGGAGTGGTCCACTTCAGAAAACCCTGGTTTGCAGCAATTCTTCTCACCTCCAAGGAGCTTACAATCAAGTCTCTCTCTCTCTATCTCGTCTCTCTCTCTTTCTCTCTTTCTCTCTCTCTCTTTCTGTGTCTCTCTCCCTCCCCCCCTCTCATCTATCTTCTGGAGGCAGGGGAGGTGAAAAACCGGCAGTTTTTGCCCATTTTTTGGCCTCCTGGGGCATCTGTGCACCCCATTTTTCACCACCCCCACCTCCAGCAGCATTCTGCAGGCAAAAATTGTTGGCTTTACCTTTCAGTTCCAACCTGCGGATAAGTCCTGCGCTTGGCTGAAGGGTGGGTGCAGCGATGTGGGCAGGGCAGCCTCGTGGTCCTGCGCAGGCCGGATTAATGGCTTCAACTGGCCGCATGAGGCCCACGGGCCATAGTTTGAGGACCATGCCCTGAGGGAAGGTGAAGCCAAGGCTGGGAGCAAGACATGCCTTAGGAGCTGCAGCTAAAAGGCAGCCCCCCCACAACTCACTGACCTAGAGCAGCTGCCCAGAGTTTAAGGGCAGTCCCCTGCCAGCCTGAAGTTCCCCTTCATTTTCTGCAATGCCTGGCTTCTGAGGGGCAAAGTCTGGCATCTGAACTGGTAGCCTCCCTCCAGGACACTGGAGATCCCTGCAGGAGTTCAAGACCATCCGAGGCCCTCATACCTGCTGAGGGTGGGAACCCAAGTATACAATTCAAGCCGAAGGATGCAGGAAGGCTCTTCAACAAATCCACCTCTTCAGAGCTGGCCCCCACGCTAGAAGGGCCTCGCTTTTTATTTCTCCTCCTCTCCCCCCAGCCCTTGCACACCCCAATCTTGGCCAACCCAATTTAGGATTCTCAGTGTGGATCTTGACCAGGGGTGAAATCTGAACCGGTTTGCTACCAGTTTGCTGGCTATGCATGCCTGTTGCGCGCGTGTGCAGTGTGCGCCAAAAGGAGGCTTGGGAAGGTAAGTAGAACAGTGAGGGGGGAGATCAGCTGTGGCGCGCAGTTTAGTTTCACTAGAAAGCAGGAAATCCTGCCTTTTAGCAAAGCTAAACTGTGCAGCACAGGTGATCGTCGGATCGTAGCTTTTTTTAACTACCGGTTCGACTGAAACGGTAGCATTTCACCCCCTGATCTTGACCCAAGCGATTAGCAGGCTTCCTTGGGGCTATATTTCCTTGAAACTCATCAGCCGTGCAGACTTAAATCTTACACAGAAAGCAGATGTATACAACATCTTCCAAAGTCTGTTTCTGAGCTGGACATGGGACATTACAAGGCGTGAAAAACCAAGAAGCCAAACAAACGTGGGTTCCTGTTGCTCGTTTCCCCTCTGATTTCTAGCCCAAACTCCTGTCCAGTGCCAGGTACCCTGCCCTGCAAGCTGAACATCCTCAAAACAAGAAACAGTCAGTGGTCACAAGCATGTGTGAGCTTTCTATACAACAAACAGCATGTAGCAGATACAAGAAACATCTGCCTCCCCAGAAGGTCCTGAATGTCACCATCATTCTCTCTGAATCCATCACTGTGGGCTCTGCCAGAGATATCAGAAGTCAACAAAATTGAAACCTTTGTACATTAGTCCACTCCCCACAAACGGGGGAAAACAGACAGTTCCTTTGATCACAGAATACCCTCCCCCTTTCAAATGCTAGGATCCCAGAAGCCCTTGAAAACCAGTGATTTTGTCCAGGTTCTCAGATCTAGCAAGAGCAAGCAGGGCCAGGGAGGGGACCCAAAGACCTGCTGGGGGAGGCGGTTTGAGATGCCACGCTTCCTCTCTCCAGCCAACTCTGAGCTGCTGCAACTCCCAGTTGGCTCCCAGCATTGGGTCACCAAGATAGGTTGGTTGTTGCTTTACTGGGAGTCCTGGACAATCCAGTAGCTGAAGAGGCACCTACAGCACCCTGGCTGAAAAACAATGAATGAGGCTGAACAAAGATTTGGACCGGCAAGGTGGCTGCATTAGTTCTCTGCCTTTGTTGTATGAGCAAAATGCTGTCCAGCAGCAATGTTTAGCATGAGCAAAGCCCTGCTGCGGAGTCAAAGAGAGGGAGATTTCCTTTTGCCAAGTGTTTCACTGACAAACTCATTGTTGCTCCGAATTAAGTGCCACCTGAGCAGAATCCAGTGAGACGGCTGGGGCAGCAACTCATCCCAGACTAGTAATTTCACAGATGTCCCAGCATCCTGCACAGATCACTGGAGCAGGAACCACGTGGATTTCAGGATTTACTATTATGAGAATCTTGGGTCTGGAAAAAGGAAGAGCAACCACAGGTCTTTGCTAGATCTTTTGGTGGCATTTGGGGCCACGAACCATTAAATCTTCCTGCAAGACCCCTGCAGGAACTGGATGTCAAGGATCTGTTGAAGCAGTTCCAGTCCTTCCTGTGCAGGAACTTCCTTGGCAGTGGATGGAAGAGGAGAAGAGAAGTCCTGACTGTGTCTATCACAGGGTCAGCTCTCTGCCCCAGTTTATACAGTATGAGAATGCTGGAAGAGGTCCTCTCTTCCTCAGGAGGAATTATCACTGGGAGGAGAGGCAGCAGAGCTTCTGTCCTGGGGTACATGGAACAGAAGAGGCTCAACTGACTCTCAGAGAGTTCGCTTTGCTCAAAACCCCTCTGGGTCAACTGGATGTTTATTAGCTCTGGATGTTCTTTCCTGCAGAAATCACGACTGGGATTCTGCTTCAGGATGACCACTGGAGTTCCTGCTTGGGCATAAGTGGATGCCATGGCTGGGAAGGCTGATACACCAATTCTAGCCATTTTGGAAGAAGGTGGCCTGGCCCTGATGACCATTGCTATGGATTCCTGTCACACACTTGCCTTGGGGCCACCTTTCTAAGCCCCATGACAGGCTCTGCAGTGGTTTGCCCTCTGTGGTCTTTCTGCAGAGTTTGACTCCGCTGCCGTCTGGGAACGAGATTGAGAGAATCCTGTTCTGCCAGGCTTATGGTTGTTGACTCTTTAGACTCAGTTTGAGGCATGTGGTAGACGTTTTGTTCATGAGAATTGAAAGTAACCTGCAATGCTGCGTTCTAACCACTGCACCCCTGCAGGAACTCAGAACGGCTGCTTGGGGACCTGCATCCCCTTCAGATTGGAGGAAAACATTGTGAGGTCAGAGGGAGAGCCAGCTTTCCGGCCTGGAACGCACTCTCCACATAAAGAGGCAGGCTTAGAAACCACCTGAGGGAGGGAGCAGCATTGGAGGGATCAAGTTAATCTGTAGAAACAAGGGAGGTCTTTCTTTTTTTGGGTTATTCAATCAGATTAAATTGTTTCTATGTTAACCAAGTGTTTCTGCTATCCTCTTTCCTCCATTCCACCAAGTTACCCTAAGAGGCCTATTGATTTCTAAATCAGAAAAGTAGCCGAAAAAAAGAATAATAAAAGGCTGCCAGAAGAAGGTCCATGACAAGCGGTCAGGCTGTTCTAGAAGTCTGAAAAACCTTCCCTCCAGCCAGGCAGCCGGCAAAGATCCCGAGTAATCCTGGAGCTGTGAGGTTTGTGGGTTTCCGTTCCTGCAGAAGAGATGCCTAGTCACAGGCACCGCTCAGGCCGCTCAGTGTTCCCCGCCTTTTGCTTAAAAATAACTTGGTCATCCAGTCTTGTCCACATTCTGTGTTTTGGGACTGTGTCAAAGGCCTGCATTGTTTACACAGAGCACTTCCGTTCTCAGGGTTTGTGTCTTTCTCTAAAAATGCTGGACAATGAAGCAGCAATCCAAAGTGGATCTCCCCACTCCATCCTGCCTGCTCTTCAGCTATGATTTTCTTTTGTTTTATCAAGTTTACCAGTTTTCATAGCAAAGATCCTGCATTGTCCAGATTTCAAACTAGGTATAGCAATAAATCTTGACTATCTAGAATCATTTCCCCTTCCTTTTTTCCTTCCTTCCAATTCTACACCTCTCCTTCCTGTCTTTTCCAATTAATGAAAACCTGGCTGTCCTGTCCCTCAGATTGGGAGCCGTCTCATCAGTATATACAAAACAGCTCTGTTTAGCCCAGGGTTGGGCCACTGATTTTCCCAAGGGATCACATAAGAAACTGGGACTCTTGTGGAGGGCCGCCCCCCTGTGTCACCATAGCTGGTGACTTAGCTTGTTGGAAGCCAGGGGTGAAAGTCCCAAATGACGATCGCAGGATTGTGGGATGCTGCGAACCTTGTGATTGTAAGCCAATCACCCAGTCCTTGAATCATGATCACGTGACTGCAGCAATGTTACAACAGCTGCAATCTCCAGAACTTGTCACATGTGCCATTGTTTCAGCACCGCTGTTACTTCAAATGGCCACTGAATGAGCACTGAATTAAGTAAGGACTATCATTACTATAAGAGAGCTACTTTGGTGCAAGTGGTAATGGACATCTTGATTTTAAAGAATGGATCCAAGATATGAGTTTGCTATTTAGTTTTCAATGTTTTGGAATATTATGAAGCACACTCTGAGAAACAAGTGGTATTGGCCTTCCTTGACGCCCAGAAGGCCTTTGACAACTTAAATTGGAGATTTATGACCCAGCAAATCAAAAGGATGAATTTTGGGGAGCACTTTGAGAATGTGATAAAAACAATTTATGATAAGCAGAGAGCAAACATTATACTCAATGGAGATATGACTAAAAAACCCCAGATTGGCAAAGGAGTAAGACAAGGTTGCCCGCTCTCACCACTCTTATTTATATTGGCATTGGAGGTGTTGTTAAGGAAAATTAGGCAGAATAATGAGATAAGAGGATTGGAAATTAAGAAAGAAAAATTTAAAATTCAAGCATTTGCCGATGATGTGGCGTTGATCATGGAGGAGCCACTAACAACCAGAATAAAAGTATTGGAAGAGATAGATGAGTATGGGAAGTTATCTGGATTTAAATTAAATAAGACTAAAACCAAAATATTAACCAAAAATATTCCAGCAGGAGATCAGAAAATTTTAGAAGAAAATTTGGGCATCCAAATAGTTAAAAAGATAAAATATTTAGGGATTTGGATTACGGCTAGATGTTCAACCCTGAAAGAGGACAACTATATACCGCTACTGGCAAAAATCAAGCAAGATTTGGAACGATGGGGGAAGTTACAAATTTCGCTGTTAGGTAGGATAGCTCCCATTAAGATGAGTATCCTCCCCAAATTGATATATTTATTCCAAACTACGCCAGTTAATATAGAAAAAAAATATTTTGTAGAACTAAATAAGATAGTCAGGAAATTTATTTGGGGAGGGAAAAAGCCAAGGATTGCACTCCGAACATTGCAGGAAAAAAGGAATAGAGGTGGATTCGGGCTCCCAGTGTGGGAGATATACCACAAAGCCGCTAACCTAGTGTGGCTACGAGATTGGGCTACACTAGGAAATAAAAGAATTTTACAACTGGAAAGGTATGATTTGCAGAAAGGCTGGCACGCCTATCTTTGGGATAAAGGAAAAGGGGCAGGGATATATTTCCACCGACATAAAATTAGAGATGTATTAATGAGGACATGGAAGGAAATTAGACACATACATTATACAAAAATTCCAAAATGGACCTCCACAATGGAGGCAATGATCCATCCAAATACGCTAAGCAAGGAAAAAATGTTCACTTATCAAGATATCCTAGATAATAGCGGCAACCTTAAAACAAATGAGACCTTAAAGGAGCAAGGGATCCACATTGTTTGGTGGCCCTAATTACAAATTAAATCCCAATACAGGAAGGACAAGCAGGAAGATGGTATAGAAATGGGGACAAATAGCTTTGACAAGATATGGATGGGCGGTGAGAACAAATTATTAGCTAAATTATATTCATACCTGCTTGAATATGATAGAGAAGGGGAAATACTTAAAGATCAGATGATTGCTTGGGGGAGAAATATCGGACCAAAGATAAACCTAGACAATTGGGAAGAAGTGTGGAATAATTGAATATAGTAATGTGGAGGGTGGGGGAAATATTAGTGGACGTTTAGAAAGGAAGGGTGTAAAGCAATGTATCACAAAGTCAAATAAGTTAGGAAAAGAAACATGAAAAATAGACACAAAGAATGAAAATGGTGGTAAGCTTCAAATGTTAGGATGTAAGAAACTGGTATTCAGACGGTATGCTGTTTGATCAATGAAATGATGTTAGTATCAAAAGAATAATATTGTAGTTACATATATATATATGATTATATGTGTAAAATTATTAATATGAAGATTAATCAATATGATATAATTATTATTATCAATAACACATGTTTAAGTGATTCTTTTATTTTTGAATATAACTTTAAGAAGTTGTATAGTTATAGTTGAAAGAGATATTAATTGGAAAATATACCATATCCTGTAAGTGTTGGGAATATATACAACAATGAAAAGAGAAAGGGAAATGGAGTGGAGTGGAAGGGAGTAGAAGAGGAGGGGAGAAAGAGTAAGGGTAGAGGGGGGAAAGGAGAGAGGGAAGTGGAGGGGAGGAGAAGAGTAGAAAGGGAAGGAGGGAAGTGGAGAAGAAGAGAGAGGGGAAATAGAGAGGGGAGAGGAGAAGGAAAGAGAAGTAGAGGGAAAAAGAGGAGAAGGAAGGAGGGAAATAGAAAGAGGGGAGAAGGGAAGAGAGGGAGGAGAAAGAAGAGGAAAGGAGATGGATTGTTATTGTAAAATTGGGAAATATGGTATACAGGAGAAAAGAAAACAGATAATTTCATATTTTTTCTACTTGGTTATACTATTGAAATTATAATGAAAGATAATATGGTGGACGTTAAAGCATATTGGTTTAGATGTTATTGCATACTTGTTAACATTTATATGAAAATAATTTTGTGTAAAAGATAGGGGTAAATAATATGGAATAAGGAAAATGGAATGTAATAATTATGAATATGTTTATCTGTATTGAAATGTATGATACTCAAACACTACACCATCCACATAATGATATTTATAAATTAAAAAAAAAAACTTGATGGGGAAAAAAAAGGAGTGACTGAGAGAGAGATGGAGGTGTCCTAATAGACAACCACTTAGGTAGGAGCCAGCCTGTGCTGCAGCTGCCAAAAAAGCCAACGCAGTCCTAGGCTGCATCCACAGAGGGGTAGTATTAAGTAATAGTAGTGCTTTATGCTGCACTGGTAAGACCACACTTCTGGTCGCCATCATACAAAAAAGATGGTGAGACACTAGAAAGAATGCAAAGAAGAGCAACAAATGTGATTGGGGGTTGGAGGCTAAATCATATGATGAATGGTTGCAGGAACTGAGTGTGGTCTAATGAAAAAGTGACTGTTGTGGCCCGCCAACAGCCAGCAGAGCTGGCAGCAGATTCGGACAGTGAAGAGGTTGGGGAGGAATGTGAGCCAGACCTGCAGTCTGGGGAAGGCTCGGATGATGGTTCTGAGTCGGAGGCAGAGAGGGGGCCAAGGCCATCTGGTAGTTCTTTGCTGCCTCCGGAGTCTGACATCAGTGAGGCAGAACAGTGTGAGCCTGTTCCCAGTGTATCCATGTGCAGAACTGCCAGGAGACAGGAACAATTAAGAAAACAGGGTCGACTTGGGAGTAAGGCTTGGAGATGATTGGCCCCTCCCATAAGACATAAAAGAGAAGTGAACAGGACATGAGCTTTTGCAGGAAGCAATTAGTTCATCTTGTCAGTAAAAGCTGCAGAAAAGTTCTGTTTGACTCTGTGCTAAGTTTGGCTTTGCCCTGCGTGTGGCAATTAGTTCTCTGCAGCATTCCAAGGGAGATAAGGTGAGTGTTTGTAAACACTCCCCTGCAAGACTGTTTGATAAGCCTTTCGACTGGGAATGACAATAATTCACAGCTGTCTGAATGAAAGAGGTTTGCCAGGACTAAGTTTGTGATGTATACGGTCTACGGAAGCCTAGGTCAGAACAGTGACATGATAGCAGTCTTCCAATACTTGAGGGTCTGTTACAGAGAACAGGAGGTCCATCTATCCTGCACAGCATCTGAGGGCAAGATAAGAACTAACAGATGAAAACTTACCAAGGGGGTGTTCCAACATAAAATTAAGGAGAAATTTCCTGTCAGTGAGAACAATCAATGGAATGGCTTGTCTCTAGAAGTTATGGGTGTTCCATCACTGGAAGAAGAGATTGTCCCAAATGGTATAGGGTTTCCTGTTTGAGCAGGGAGTTGGACTAGAAGGCTTCCAAGGTTCCTTCCAACTCTGTTATTCTGTTTTCTAGAACCCACCAACCACTTCAGTCCGAGTGACCAAGCAGCCCATAGGAGTCCCTGCAGAGGTAAGCAAGCCCTCTGAGGGAGGCCCCGACAGTAAAGTGACCAACTTTTTTGCAATGAGAAGGAGGACACAAATAAATTGAAGAAAAAAATATTGTAAATAAAAGATTCTGTATTATTGTTGCAATGAATAAAATATTTAACTATAATATGATAAATGCATAATAAAAAACATTTGTAACAATAACATTTTATATTGTAATTATGCTTACATGCCTATTAATTATTATTTAACTGAGTACTTTTCCATTGAATGAATATTTTTGTCAATGTACTATCTTCTAACAATATATTGGAAATGTCTGAACAAGAAATATCCTTCATATTGAATTTTACGGCAAGTGCTGCAGCTAGAGTATCAACATTTAATCTCGATTTCTCACTTTTCCAAAAATCATTAGCAATTGAAAAAACCCTTTCAACTGCTGCATTAATTCCAGGGCAGCACAACATAAATTGAACAAGAATAAATAAATTTTCACATGGAATATGTTCATTTTTGAAATGGCTGAATATTTCCACGCATCTTTTATCAATTTCAACGTGTTTATTTTCTCATTGTATTAATTTTTCAGAATTTAAAAATACATTCAGTCTTCTAATTTATTCAAAGAGACAATTGTCATCTATTTTAATGTCTGGCATTTCTTTAGATAAAAACTCAACACAAGATTCAATATCTGTCCAATATACTTGTGATGAAGTCAAAAAACACCATTGAAAACGGTTATTTCCTGTGATGTTTGTTTCAGACCATTCTTTGATATATTGAAAACATGTTTGGTAAAAATTCTGCACTTCTTTGATAAACATTTCCATTATGCCCGGATTTGATTCCTCTAAGCATGACAATTTTGTTTTTATAACTAAAGGAAGAAATTTTTCTTCAAATCGAGTTTTATATTGAAGGATAAAGTCATTCAAAAAAAGACTAACTTCTGTGGCTGAAATGTGTTCACCTTTAATCTTTTGAATCGTTTTGTGAAAAATAGACGTTTGATTATGTACAAAATACATTAATATCTCAGATATTTCATTATTGAAAAACAATTCCAGGATTTTAGGACATTTGTCTAAACTTAAAAAATATGAACGGAGAGGCTCAAATAATTGTAGAACACGCTCTATAGCAGATGTTAAAGCAACTCATCTAACTTTTGAATATCCTAAAAGTTTTTTGTATTGATCATTCGCTTCTTCACAAAATTGTTTTAAAGTAGCCACACGAACGGTAAAACGACTAAAATACAAATAAATTGTAGTTATTATTACTTCTACATCAATTGGCATGGCACATGACGCCGTGTTGATTGCATTTGACAAAATATGTGCATTACAACTTATTCCTAGTTTTTTCTTTTGGAGTAAGTCTTGTAATTTTACATACACATTATTCACCCCTTTGCGTCTTCGCCCATCAAAATTTGTGTTTGTATTATCAGCTGTTAGTGCAACAACTTTAGATTTCAAATTGTTTTCATTTATTACTCTGTATAGATGGTTTGACAAAATTTCAGCAGTTTCGCCCTCAATGGATTCTAAATTTAAAATATTTACTTGAACGCCCTTGGTAACATTAAAATACCTTACTAATATTGAATACAATTTAGTTTCATTATGATTGGATGCATCAGATAAAACTGTTACAAATGCTGCATTTTCCAAGTCTTCTGTAAGTATTTTGTCACAGTAATTTTTAAATACTGATTTAATAACAGCCCCGTGTTTTGTCCTGGCGCATGAAAATTTAGCATCGTGAAACTTTTTCAATAATTTAGTTGTACAATCCATACTACGAAAACTTTGATTGTGAATTATAGTATGAAATGCAAATGTTCCCTCCATTGCAGCTAATTGTTTTTCATCTTCTGGATGAAATGCATCTGATGATTGCTTATGTTTCTTGATGGTCAAGTGTTTCATAATAGCTGCTCTGCCCCCAACTGCAATGCAAAATTCTCCACTCCAAATATTGCAGAAAACAATGTTATCCTTCTTTGATATGAGGAATGGAAATTCCTTATTCAATTTATCGTTGAAATGGCATTTCCTCTTTTTTGATTTTTCCATCCCTAAATGAAATTTAAAATTAAAAATAAAATATAGAGCTACAAGAACGATGCAAGCACATTCATTATGAATAAATTAATTATTAAAACTCAAACAATAACAAGCGAATAAACTTGTAAATAAAATTATACGTATTTGGAAATTATTAAATAGATAATAAATTAATAAAACGTAAATTATTAGGTTATTAGACCATAGCCTACTACTAGATAAAGTAGAAAAATAAGTTGGACAGCACCACCACCAGATGGATTCGTAACTGGCTGACCAACCGCACTCAACGTGTAGTCCTCAATGGAACTGTATCTACATGGAGGGAAGTATGCAGTTGAGTACCCCAAGGCTCTATTTTAGGCCCAGTACTCTTCAACATCTTCATCAATGACTTGGAAGAGGGGATAGATGGGGAACTCATCAAATTTGCAGATGACACCAAGCTGGCAGGAATAGCCAACACTCCAGAAGATAGACTCAAGATACAGAAAGATCTTGACAGACTTGAACATTGGGCGTTATTTAACAAAACGAAATTCAAGAGTGAAAAAAGCAAGGTTCTACATTTAGGGAAGCAAAACAAAATGCACAGGTACTGTATATGTGGTACCTTGCTCAATAATAGTAACTGTGAGAGGGAACTTGGAGTCCTAGTGGACAACCATTTCGATATAAGCCAGCAGTGTGCAGCAGCTGCCAAAAAAACCAACACAGTTCTGGGCTGCATAAACAGGAATAGAATCAAGATCACATGAAGTGTTAATACCACTTTATAATGCCTTGGTAAGGCCACACTTGGAATATTGCATCATCGCCACGATGTAAAAAAGGCATCCCCAAGAGGTCTTGTGGCACCTGCTACCTCCTGCTTGGTTGATATTTTATGGTAAGAGAAAAAAATTATGGAAGAAGCTCTGAGACTCTAGAAAGAGTGCAGAAAAGAGCAACAAAGATGTTTAGGGGATTGGAGGCTAAAACACATGAACGGTTGCAGGAACTGGGTATGTCTAGTTTAATGAAAAGAAGGACTAGGGGAGACATGATAGCAGTATTCCAGTATCTCAGGGGTTGCCACAAAGAAGAGGGAGTCAAACTATTCTCCAAAGCACCTGAGGGTAGAACAAGAAGCAATGGGTGGAAACTAATCAAGGAGAGAAGCAATTTAGAACTGAGGAGAAATTTCCTGATAGTACAATTAATAAGTGGAACAACTTGCCTGCAGAAGTTGTGAATGCCCCAACACTGGAATTTTTTAAGATGTTGGATAACCATTTGTCTGAAGTGGTGTAGGGTTTCCTGCCTGGGCAAGGAGTTGGACTAGAAGACCTCCAAGGTCCCTTCCAACTCTGCTATTCTATTCTATTCTATTCTATTCTATTCTATTCTATTCTATTCTATTCTGCTCACCTGTGTATGATTGAATATTCACTGAGAAAGAAGTGAGTCTAATGCGTGCATGTGTGCCGTGTTGTAAATAAGCAAAGCCACTTGCACATGGTGCACTCTTGTGTGTGGCACACTCTCTCAAAACAATTCTCCTGTGCAGAGTGCATGTGTCTCATAATGGCATCTCACCGCACTGTACCGAGCCTTGAGGAATCGTCATGTCAAATACAAATATGTCACATCACATGCAACGGATCGGATCAGCATCAATCGAATACGGAGATTTACAGATTAGTCTTCAAATATTGAAAAGGAGTAGGAGAAAACATGTAGGAGGACACTTTTCGAGAGAGGACAGAACTTACAAAAGGACTGTCCTCCCTAAAGGAGGACGATTGGTCACCTTACCCAACAGCAATAGGGAAAGGAGGAAGAGAGCCTCCCACTGACCAGCCCCACCAGCATCCCGAAAAGGGCTCCCCTGGGACAGAGCAGGAGGGGCATCCCCAAGAGGCCTTGTGGCACCTGCTACCTCCTGCTTGGTTGATATTTTATGGTAAGAGAAAAAAATGATGGAAGAAGCTGCAAACGGCAAGAGCAGTTGCAGAGGCTGCCAGGCTGTGCAGAAAACCCAGGAAGGGCTGAGAGCCGATTTCAGTGGAAGTTCAGGATAAACTTCACCCAAATGTGAAGTAGCAGTTCAACCAGGGACTCAACCAGAGATGTGGTGGGTGCATTTAGCAAAGGCTACAGAGCAACAGGGACAGAATCCTTTGACTGGATCCTGCACTTCGCAGCAGGCAGGCAGGCAGGCAGGCAGGCAGAGAGGGAGGGAGGGAGGGAGGGAAGGAGGAAGATTGCTATAGGACTTGAAGGAGTAATAGAAATTGGAAATAATGCAACATAGGATCAAATACAAAGGAAGCGGGGATGATTCTTCCTGATTTTGAAGCAGTTTCTGTTTTATGCAGAAACAAATCGGGGCTCACCAAGGCTAGGATGGGTACCAGATGGGTAATCTGTAACAGAACTCCAGGATCCCCACCCAAGTTGCACTTTCCTCCCTTACGGCTGAAGGATGAATGGGTTTGGTTGGAAGGCTGCTGATGAAAGAGTCTCCGGGCTCCAAGATGCAAATCACACGGCAGGCCATTGTTGCAGAACCCAGGGTGCTTCCGAAAGAGCCTCTGCCATGCTTGGGAAATCAGTCTTGATCCAATAACCCTCCCCCTACCCCAGATTTTTCGAAAGGCTGGACAAGCACTGTGTCATTTCCTCCTTCAGTTGTGCTGGAAATGTTGACAAGGAATTCTGTGATTATAGTTTGGCTTCCTATGACTACTAAGGAACCGTGGAAACCACACACATCTGCACTGGGGTTTTCCTCATAATGTTGGAATCATTTTTTTCCAAGGAAAACCAACTCAAAGTGAAGCTGGCAATTCAGGGGATGACTCACAGGTCCCAGGAGAGCTTCCAGCTGTGGCAGCAAAGGTACTCAGTAACCAGTCTGAGGACCTGTGGCATCTGACAGTGCTTGCTGTGCATCGTCCAGCTGCAAATAGATGCCCAAAATCTCATGCCGAATTGTCCCAAAGAGGAATGCCAGGAGAAGCCCTGGTGCAGCATGAGGGCGCTTCTGCCCATGGAGATGCAGCCAGGTTCCATCAGCTTCTAAGCCCCTAAAAATAGGCAAGAAGGGAGGAAAGAAGGACTACCAGAACTCCACCAGCTGCAAGGGTAGATTGTTTCATCCCATGTTTTGGGGGAAGTCATTTGAAGGCCAAATTCTAGGCTGCAACTTTTGTTGACATTATTGTAATTATTCATATACTCTCCTCTCTCTCTGGGGAACAGGGGCCAAGGCACCAAAAGGAACCGAAGCTGTGCTCTTCTGCCAGTGGCAGGCCAGCTGCCTCAGGAAACCCTCCAGTCTCCCAGCCAGTCAACAGCCCTTTTTCCCCAGAACTTCCATGACTGCTCCAGTCCCTTTTCACAGCCAGCCAAGCTGGTAGCCAGCACAATGTTTCACACAGCAGTGAATTCCAAAATAGAATTAACGTTGTGTTAAAAACCACCCCTTTGTTCAGATTCCTTCATGTTTCAGTTTCTTTGGTTAATTTGTATTTCTAGTATTTTGGGAAGGGAAAATAATTTTTCCT